TATCATTAAGAGTAAGCATTACAAAATTTAATAATTGTATGCAAAATTGTTACATTTTTTTTAATTTGCGTATTCTTATACCAAATTAATAAAAATATACCAAATTTCTTTTAATAATAACAATGTATATGCCATTTATAATAGTTTAGAAATATTATAAAAATAATAACAATACATAATAGTAAAATATTTCGTCTGGGTAAATAGCAAAATGTATCACATATATATGTAATGACACATTTTCAATTAAAAAGTTATTTAATTTAGTACAATAAAATGTTGTAAAATCAATATTTATATTTATACAGATAGAGAATATTTGTCGTTAACTGTTTCGTACTAGGTGAGTCTAAAGTGCTACCAGGCGCGAATATACAGGGTGTTTGATAATTAATGAAAAATCTTTTGCATAGGAGCAAAATGGACTAAACTGAGAAGAAAAGTCCTCTACAATTTTGCAATTTTTGCAATAGTTAACAAGATATTAATTGCTAAAAATTGTCGAAAATTAATTTTCAATAATTTTTTACTCAAAAACTATCAACTTTATAGAAAAACTGTGGGAGACAAAAATTGTTTATTTTCTTCTCATAAAGTTTTGAGAATTTTTTAATACCGTATTTTCTCATGTTGGTAAAAATAAGGAAATGCAATACTAAAAAGTTGATAAAAAATTCTGAAAAAATTCTTAGAGCTCTATGAGAATATAGTAAACAATTTTTGTCTCTTGCAGGTTTTCTGTAAAGCTGATAGTATTTGAGTAAAAAATTATTGAAGACTAATTTTCGACTATTTTTAGTAATTAATATCTTGTAACTATTACGAAAATTGTAAAATGGCAAAAGACTTTTCTTTTCAATTTAGTCCATTTTGCCCCTATGCAAAAGATTTTTCATTAATTATCAAACACCCTGTATACAGTTAAAAAAATATCGTATATAAGATTCAAAATATAACATGTAAAAAATTATATAGCATTTATACACAGATAAACATAAAGATTTGTACGACCCGTAACACGACGGAGTGTATAATTCATGCATTTTTAAATTAAAGAAAGAAGGAAAAAGATGAAACAAATAAAGAATCAATTATTTATTATTTTTCTTACTATTCTGTATTATTAGGGAGTTTTTGCAATACCGTTTATTTAGATACGGTGAACGCTAAGGTCACGTACTTCTTAGCGATTAAGAAAAGGATTACATGACTTTAACGTTTACCGTATCTGGATTCACGTTATTGCAAAAACTCTCTATTGACACTTTTCCGAAATACATACGCTTTCAGCGTATTGACTTATTGACCTTGGATAAATCAGGCCGATAAGCTAGGTAGCAATCTGCTGGATTGCAAGCAGACGTGGCGCCAGCGGCAATTACTCTATAGTCATTTGTTTAAATATCATCAGTCTTTCGCGTTTGGTTAGGTTCTTCTTTGAAAATAGTCGATAGACGAAATTACAAAGTGCTTTCGCCACAGAACAATTCCTCTAATTGAGTATCATTTCTGAAAGCGAGGATTAAATTTAAAACAATGTCCAGTAATTCCAGTAATTCCAGTGGTTCCAGTTCAGAAACCGAGAACAATCTGTCACGAAATATTCAATATACCGAGAGTCTCGACGAGACTCTCGGTATCGTCGAGAATCTCGGCACAAACAGTCTCGTGTCGGTCTCGAATTCAGACCTTAAATCTCGTCTCGGTCTCGTCTCGGTCTCGTCTCGGTCTCTGTTTAGATAATGGTTTATCTGAAAGGCGTTTATCATAAATTAGATAAAATCAATACTGAAAATAAAATCTGTAAATATTTATTAAAGTTATAAAACAGTTTTAATTATAAGGAGTTATAGTCTATTTCCAGTAGCAGTATAAACTTGATGTTCTCTATATCACAGCAACAACCAAAGACATGAAGCCCTTCCTTGAGTCGATGATACATATGTTTGAAGTAAATCAAATTGAAATGGTTAAGATAAAGATAGTTAAAGTTGAATGAACAATATAGAAAAATAAGCATTTATTTCTATGCTGGAATAGGTTAACAAGTTGTAATGAAAATATGCTTGAGAGGACTCTGCATTGTGAGAAAATAATCGAGTTTACCATAATTATAATATTTGTTAAAGATAAATGGTTATCTGTAAATGGAAGTAAGTGTATTTTTTCTAATGCGTATAATCGAGATCACCACGTTCTGACAAGCATTCCAAGACTCATATGCTTATTGTTGAGGTTAGCTTAATTGCTTGTAGACAGTTAGTTTAAGTTAGCCATAATATGTTGATTAGAGAATATAATTTTATATTGAGTAGAGATTGTACCTTTATATTGAGTAGAGAATGTACCTTTATATTGAGTAGAGAATGTACCTTTATATTGAGTAAAGAGTGCACCTTTATGTTGATTAGAGAATGTACCTTTATATTGAATAGAGAATGTACCTTTATATTGAGGAAAGAATGCACCTTTATATTGAGGAGAGAATGCACCTTTATATTGAGTAGAGAA